GTTCCTTTCAGAGAAATCAGGGAGCAGATCTGAGGGCAAGGCCTCCTGAACGGCTCAAGGCTGTCCCCAGGCCTCTCAGCTGTCACCTCCAGTTAAAGGACAGAGGTGCATGTGCTCTGCGACACTGCGAATGTGATGGAGAACTGCAGGTCCAGCAGTGCGGGTCCTCTGCCCTCAGTTGCTTCTGTGCCTTCAACCTGTACTGCTTGGTACAGAAAGAGTGGTCCCAGGAAGGTGGGCAGCTCCGGCACAGCACTTAAGATTCTGCTGGGCACCCAGGGACTCAGGTTCCTGGCTAACCAGAGGCTGCAATGTGAAAGCACCACTATTCCTTTCACCCACTGAACATTCCTAGGCCTACCTATGAAAAGGTTAAAAGCTCGGCATCCAGCCAGGCATGGTGGGCCACACCTGTGATCTCAGGACTCTGGGAGGATGAGGCAGGAGGAGTGCAAGTTTGAGCCCAGCCAGGATAATACAGAGAGACCCTATCTCAAAATAAGAGGGCCAGGGGGCCAGGGATTTAGCTCAGCGGTTCCACCGCCTGCCTCGCAAGCGCAAGGTCCCAAGTTCGATCCCCGGTACCAAAAAAACCAAAAAAAACCAAACAAAAATAATTAAGAGGGCCAGGGATGTAGCTCAGTACAAAGGCTATAGCTGGGAGCCTCAAAGGAGAGTGTGCATTGGTCCAGCTCTAGCTCTAGGGCTCTCAAAGCTGCCGGGCTGTGAAGATTCACTCCAGGACCCAACAGTGCATACCAAAATGGCATGAATTCCACTCCTGGGCACACAAGAGTTCCTGCTGCTTTTGGTCTCAGAGAGGGAGATCTAATTTCCTTTGATCTTCTTAACACCTTTGGGCAAAAATGACAGAATGAAATTTGGGTGGAAGGCTCACTAGGCAAATCAGTGGTGACTCTGATGCAAAATTCCATCACTAGAATGTGACACAAAGATCTTTCCACTCCCCTCTTCCTCCCGAGGCCTTAGTCACTACAAGCTACCCTTTCCAGGTTCGAAGCACGAGGGTAAGAGGAGCTACAATATTCCCTACTAGGTAATTCCTTCAGAGATCAAAAAAGGTGCCAGGGAAGCAAACAAACCTTATTTCCTTTTATTCACATAACACATGAAGCCAGTTTTGAGCTTGCCATGATTTAAGAGAAAGTTCCACAGATTCACCCTAATGACCACAGAATGCCAGGGCCACTACTTATTTTTGCCCCTGGACCTTTGGGGCCACTCTCTTCAGATGAAGAGACAAGCGTCATGGCCGCAGCAGGAACTAAAGAAGAGGTTTTGCTTCCCGAGACCAGTAAGAATTTAGCAAACACTGAGCAAACAATTTTGTAATGAGGACATAAATTAACAGGAGTAATAAGGTCAGTCTATTAAAATCATTAGTTTCATTAAGAACTTGCCAAAGCTGGGTGACAGCCCCATTTACTCCCCAGGAGTTCCCCTTCTCCAATCTACCACAGAGCCAAAACAATATTTAGGGTTTTCATTTAAGACTTCTTCTCTACCTGATAGGAATCATTAAGTCACTTTGAAGAAGGGTTCACTTTACAGGGGAACCAAAGGTTTCCCAGTTGTTGGCAAAATTGTTCACATGGTGACAGAACAGCAGGGCAAACACACGAAGATTAAAATGACAGTGACAACTCGTAAGGTGGGGCAGCTCCAACCACTAATGGCCAAGGTGAGCAGCACAAAAGAATAAATTACGAATGTTAATAAATATCACATCCTGCCTAACCACTGCTTAGGAACACACTCATTCCTGTTTAAAAACTCAATTTCTCCTTCATGCCAGACAAATGGTAACTCGTTAGAGCAATTTAAACAGATACCGATAAAGGAAGTTTTTGATTAAGTTCATGAATCTGAGCTGGCAGGAAAGCGATGGTTTCAGGGTAAACAGCCTATTTAGTACAAAATTCAACCTGCTGGAGGGGAAGGAGGTTTGCAACTTCCAAAGTTATTTGCCACAAGAGGACCAGAAGCCCACATGGCTCGTGGGTGAGGGAAATTTCCTGGAGGTCTAGACCAGCTTCCCTGTGAGAAAGGACCCCCGCCCCCAAAACTTCATCTGCCTCTCATTACTTCAAAAAGTTACATGACAGCAGATTTTCAAGAGCTTATTTACACTTAGAAATGCCCTCCAACATCCCTTAGAATACTCAAAAGAAAATGGCGCCAGAGCGCCCAGGGAAGCATTCCTTTTTCCCTTTACTCTGGCCAAATGTCAAGCCGCTGTGCCCGAAACAAAGCTATGTTGTGAATAATATAAAATAAACAACTGATTAAACTAAACAGATCTACTAATGAGTCATCACATTGATCTAGCAGAGGAAGAAAAACAAGGTCTGGACAGAAATAGTAACTTTTTTGTTTCCCTAACTGTCCTCAGTAAGGAGTATTTTTTAATCACCTATTTGTATGTCCAGATAGAAGCCGCTGGAGCAAACAGAAACACCCCTGCTTTGCCACAAGGATTTCAGTAGGGAGTTGCATCTACATCTCAAGGACACAAAGTTTCTGGAACAACAGCAAAAACAACCAGGCAGACTGTCCAGGGCCTGCCTAGGAGAAGCCCACACAGAACACAGACGCACAAAGCCTAAGAACTTAATGAAATGACCCGAAGTCTAGAGGAGTCATAGGCAAAACAAAAGGTGTGAAGCATCCCCAGCTTCCTGGAAGACACTATCGCTACCTTTCACCAACTCTCTCCAGTAAATACTTGGCGAGCATTTTCCCCACCATTGGGAGGGAAGGGGCACAGACAGCAGTTTTGCATCTATGTGGAGCAGTGTTTTCCTAAAAAAAGTTAACCCAGAGAAGTGTGGCCACGTGGGTTTGCCTCTGCCTCATTTTCTGCAAATGAAAAAGACCTGCTGACCTATGTCAAAAGTATACAAGAGATTGGCCCCCTCTGAATTTCTGTTCTGGGCACACAACAGCAACTGTCAGTCCCAAGTCTCATGGTGCTACTTCCAGACAAGGCTAAACCTATTTGGTAAAAATAAAGGGAGTATGTGTACTATGTGTACAAAGAGCAAGGGCAATCTCAGTTCAGTCACATTTTTAAAAGCTTGAAATTGAAATCAGACTAGTTTTCTTAAAAGATACTTAAATTTTATATTCAGTGGTACCCACTATGCTTGCAATTCGGATTCTTCTACCAGCATCGTGGAAAGAATTAAGTTTGTGAACTAAGCTATCACTGCATTGACTTTCCTTTCCCTGGGAGTTGTTCTCTCCTTACTTCCAAGAGATGTTACTTGAGAGCAACTGTGCCCCCAAATCCACTTATAACTGGATCCCTCCAACCCCCAGGCCTCCCTGACTGCTCACTCTCCCTTTCCTCTGTGGGCATCTCTCCAAACCTTGAACTCTACCCAAGGAGATGTGACCTTTACCACGCTGCTCAAATCCCAGGCAGGAGGCCAAATTCCCTCTCCTTAACAATCTGTAAACCAATGTACCCAGTGTGTTTTTGTTTTCCCATTTAGGAACCCCAACCACATAGATTTTTTCACCTACCATGACTTTTTTTTCTTTTTTGGACAAGGTCTCACTTTGTGGCCCAGGCTAGTTTCAAACTTGTGGGCTTAAATCATCCCCCCCCCCCACCTGTCTGCAGGATCGGCAGGTGTGAGCCACCACAGCTGGCTCTACCATGACTTTAAAGGCACACACAAGGTTCTAAGAGCACCTCTTGTCCAGCCTGGACCACAGCTGCACCAAATACTCCATTAGCTGGACCACCTGTCAAGCCTTTCTCTGGCCAGCTTCCCAGTAACAGACGAGTAACTGCCCTGCAATAAGCCTCCCACTTGTGAATAAACTGTATTTCCTACCATACTCAGAGGAAGCTTCACACCCTTTCCATCACCAATCTGTTACCAAGTTTCATTCCAGTTTACCAGTGATACCACAGAGCATGCAAAATGCAAGCCTGCTGGTATGCTGGGTTGAGTACATCGTCACTTCCCAAAATCATGTTACCTAGAGCCTGTGAGTGTGGCCTAATTTGAAAATGGGGTCTTTTCAGATGTAACTAAGAAGTGGTAATATAGTAGTAGATGAGGGCGGGCCCTAATCCAATGAGTAATGTCCTTATAAGAGTGGAATCTGGACACAGACACAGAGGGAAGGGGGCAGCAGATTGGAGTTAGGCTGCCACCCAAGCCAAGGAATCCCTAAGACTGCTAGCAGTCACAAAAGGTCAGGAAGGTCTTCCTAAGGGCCTTCCAAGTGACCTTGTGGCCCTGTTGACACTCTGATTTCTAGACTCCAGAGCCATGAGAAAATAAATTTGTTGCTAAAGCAACCAGTGTGTGGCAAGTTGTTACAGCAGCCCTTGCAAATGAACACAGCTGGTGAATCATAGTGCAAATACAGCTACTTCTACTTGCTTGGTACTTGGAGCGAGCTACTATGCACTTCATGATTTCTCAGAAAGCATCTGCAGAAACTGTATCTATAACCCTAAAAAACAGGCACAGCAAAATGCTACTTTCAACCAAACCAGTGAAATCCTCTGAGATTAATGCATACAGCAAACACAGGGATGCTCCACTACCACTGTGTGTTTCTGCTGAAGGAACTGAGAAAACCGCATGCAAAAATCTGAGAATTAGGCCAGGCAGCTGCACCAAGAGCCCCTCCTCTAAGAGCCCCAACCATTAATAGCTATGAAAACACAGAACACTCAATGCTCTCCACTTCTAACTAGTTTAAGGCAGCAAGAGTGCCACCTACTGAAGGACCAGCAACAGAACTAAGACAATTCTGGAAAAATAGCATCTTTTAATTTAAACAAGTTTCCCCACTCTTAGTAGGACAGCCGAATGGAAGAAGCTATGGCTAGCATCTTTCTGTAGAATCTGCCTAAATTTCTCCCGGGGGCCAATGGAGTGTATTCTATTCCAAGCACCGGGGATTCAAATAAGCAGATGGCCAGTGGCCTCAGGCCACACAGGCGAACATACCTTTTGCTGGATGACTGACAGGGGTGGGAGGCTCATCATCCGATGTGGAGCTGAGGCTCAGCGCAAGTTCTGCAACTCTTTTTTTCTGTTTCTTGATGGGGGCAGTGCATTCTGGGTCAGTTCTCCTCTTCATTGTTAACTGCAACCATAAATCCAGACAGTCAGCTGCCCTTGGCTTCCAGCCACTGTGATCACAGCAAGGATTCTAAAGTATAGATCATCAATGAGATGAGATTTGGCAATTCCAAGTATCTTCCAGTGCCAGCACTTGAATAGCTCCTCCTCAGAATGCTGTCTAGGAAGAACGCTAGCCAAGCCCTGGTTTTTAATAACAGCTGTTAGCTTTACTGAAAAAGGTGGTAGTCACAGATCCAGAAGCCTCTGGGTTACTGCCACTACAACAAGTACAAGATTACATAACATACAAATATGAGGTTTTGGTTTACTTCATGATGTTTGAAAATATGAACAAACTGGAAGTTTTTACCTACGTAAGGAATGAGAGCATTAGGTGGCTCAGGGCTGAAGAAAAGTAGGAAAGATATTAGAACTGGAGATAGCTAGATCATTGGACTGAGGTATAGAAACAACACTTTTTTCTTTGGGGGGGGCGGTATGGGGATCGAACTCAGGACCTTACACTTGCAAAGCAGGCGTGCTGCCACTGAGCTAAATCCCTGGCCCCTAGAAACAAAACTTTTAAGAACACAGTCAAGAGCGCAGGGGATTTAGCTCAGTGGTGTCACACACACACACAAAAAGAATAGAGCCAACTATGGTGGCACATCCCTGTAATACCAGCACTCCGGGAGGCTGAAGCAGGAGGATCACAAGTTCAAGCCCAGCCAGGGCAACTAGTAAGACCATCTCAAAATTTAAAAAGAAAAGGGAGGGGGGGTATGCCTCTGAGTATGAAGGGCCTAGGTTCAATCCCCAGGACCAATGGGGGGAAAAAATCGGAACCTATCTCCACAAAAAAGAATGGAAAGAAGCAAGCACCATGTCATCCCCCATCCATGCCCACGTATACACTTAAATAGGAGGGGTGGAAACAGAATGAAATGATTATGAGACCCTGAAAGCTTATGGAAAAGAAGTGAAAACAGCACAATTTACACATAACTGATTGGGTATAGAGAACTCAGACCAAAAAAAAAAAAAGAACAAGAAACAGGTGCAAAGCGGGTGGGTGACCAGCTGGGCTGCAATCCCTCCAGAAAGATATGTGCAGGCCTACAGCATGGGTCACTGCAGCCACAAAAAGGAAGCAAAGAATGGCAAAGGTGCGCCTGATCCTCAAAGGCTTACAAAAACCTGGATCACTTTTCCCTTCTCTTTAGCTCTAGGAGGAGGCAGTCAACCCAATGCACAATCACATCCTTCCTGAGGAAGCAATCTTTTAACTGGCACTGGCAAAGATCGTCCTGGTGAAGCGGGAAGAACAGGAGAGCAGCAATCAGAAAGCGATCCCAAACCCAGCCACACTTCATTTTATACCACAGTCTCAGATCTCCCCCAAAACCCCTGAAGGGTGAGCTGAAGCCCATCACAGAGCCTGTTTCCAGCCACAGCACATGTAAAAGGGCTCCTCGGATAATTAAGCCACTCTAGGAGGCTAGAAACACGGGAAACTCAATGTGGACTGCTGAGGTGTGCGCAAATAAAGGAGAGAAAACCGCTGTGTAAAGGGAAGCAGGTGCTGACCCTCCTAAATCACACCACCTTAGATTTGGGCCTAACAAGTCATCTAACCCAACCTCTCATTTTCCAATGGAAAAGACGGAGGCCCAAAAAGGGAAGGCCACGTAGCTAACTAGTGCCTACTTCAAGCGACAAACACATGCCAGAAGAACGTGCGCTGGCTAAGAACCTCGAAGGGGAGGTCTGGGTCCCCATCGGAAGGGCTTAGACCTCCGTGCAGGGTCCTCGCCCTGGGCCTGGGTTTCGCACAGCCACCCCTCCGCACACAAGAGAGGTGCTCTCGTGTGCCCCGGCCGCTCTTTGCTGCTGAAAATAACGCTGAACGCGCGAACGTGTGTGCAAGACGTGTGTCAGCCACAGCTCTGGCTCCAGGAAGCTGCGGGGGGGGGGGGGGGGTGGGCTGGAGGAAACACGGACAGAAGGCGAAGAGTCACGGCCTCGGGTGGGGGCCGAGGCGACGGGGAAGGGGAGGATGCCGAGCCCGCGCACCCGCCCGTCGCTCCCACCGGGCCGCGGTCGGCACTCAGGTCGACACTCACGCTGAGGGGAGAGGGCGAGCTGCCCGGGAGCGGAAAGGAGGGGTCAGGCCGACAATGTCGTCGCCGTCGCCACCGGCCCGGCTGCTGCCAGAGCCTCCGCCTCCTCCCGCAGTTTCGTTTTCCCACCAGCCAGTCCCGCTTCGCCGGCCGCGCCGTCGCGCTCTGCGCGCAGTCTAATGACGTCATGTCACTACCGGCCCCGCCCCCAGGCCTACCAGGGGCCCAGGGAAAGGCCGCTCCGGTTCTGGCTCCGCCCACCGCCACCTCCCACCGCCTCGGGAGGAGTCCAGGGCGCCTGCGCCCAAAGCGGGGTGGGGGGGTTGGGGTGCAAAACCGAAAGTAACCAAGCATCGGCTCTTCCGGCTCTAGGGAAGGGAAAACGGCTCAAAGTTAAAGTGGGCGTTAGGCTGTAATCCCAGCTCTCCGAGGCTGAGGCCGGGGGAATCACAAATTTGAGCCCACCCTATGCAATTTAGCGACTTACCTAGACCCTGTCTCAAAATAAAACAATAAAAGGGCTGGGGGTGTAGCTCAGTGAGGAGGCCTGGGTTCAATCCCCATTACTGTGAGAAATGAGGAATGGCTGTTGACTCCCCACCGTCCCTGCCCAGTTCTGCACAGGAAAGGTTATGTCTGTCTTTCTGCATTAAATTCACAGGGCTGACGCAGTGGCTGGTGGTAAGTTTAACAGACGTTTATCGAATCTGTGAGAGTGTGGAAGTTGAACACTGGTTGAGGTAAGTGCCCAAGGTCGTAGAGGGACAGAAGGACGCAGCAATCCAGCCTTTACCTCAGGTCTCCAGGGTTCTAATGTAAGACCGAGGGCCTTACCAAACGCTCCGAGGAGCTGACTGCAGCGAAGAACACCCGGGAAGGAACACACAGGACAAGTTGGAAAGTAAAACAGACCTTTATTAGTCTGGCCAGAGGGCACTCCCAAAGCAAAATAGCTTAGAGAGGCAACTGGCTCAGAGTCCGAGTCTGTTCTTATAGGGGGTTGAGGGGGAAGTTAACATATAGAATTAAAGAAAAGGGGACAAAGGTTAGTGGTCGACTGTCACGTATTGATGGTCAGCAGACATTTGGAGCTTGTTCTATAGATTGTGGTGTCCGGAACATTAGTTCCGGGCAAACAAGGAGTTGAGTAGTTTACTTTGGGACTTTAGGTCTGTTACAGATTTTTATCTAGTGTCCCAAAACTAACAAGCATCTTTATCCATTAACTCACATTTAATCACAATGGGGCTGGAGAAAAGGAACAAAGGTTATGCAGTCCCACACTAAAGCCCGGGGTCTTTACACCTCACTAAGAACTCTTGACGTCCTTGTGACACAGACACCTCTGGTAATATTTTTTGTTGTTGTTGTTGGTACCGGGGATCGAACTCAGGTCCTTGTGCTTGCAAGGCAGGCGGCGGAACCACTGAGCTAAATCCCCGGCCCACCTCTGGTAATCTTGTGACATTTGTGGGCCCGTTCCCAACATAGTAATTGCAAAGAAATAAAATAAAAGATACAGGATTACAAAGGAAATGAAGAATCACGTTGAAAAAGTTAACATACTTAACAAATTTGTTTGAATTTTGATGTATAGCATTAAGTAATGAGAGAATAAAATCCAAGCAAGTTAAAGATAAATGTTATTTTTTAAATATAAATAAGTGTATCCAATGAATAGTGCTGAAACAACCAGATGACTATGAGAGGGGAAACATGAACATTGATTCTTATCTTATGTCATATGGAAAATTAAGGCAGGATTGATTACAGACCTAAACATAAAATCTAAAATGGGGCCGGGAGTAGATCAGTGGTTAGTTTACCTGGCACGCATGAGGTCTTGGGTTTGAGCCTCAGCACTGCAAAAAAAAGAAAAAAAAAACCTAAAAATGATAAAGCTTATAAAAGAAAATATTATGGGCCAGGGATTTAGCTCAGTGGTGCCATGCCTGCTTTGCAAGGGCAAGGTCCTGAGCTCGATCCCTAATACTAAAGAGGGGGAGGAAAAAAAAAAAAGGAAATATGGGAAAATACCTTTAAGACCTTAGGACAAAGATTGTTTTTACACCAGACCTAGAGGGCATCCATAATCAGAAGAAAAAATTATACAATGGACTTCATCAAAATTAAAATCATTATGCCTATAATCCTATCCCTCTGGGAGGCTGAGGCAGGAGGAGCGCAAATTCAAGCCCAGCCTAGGCAACTTACCACTTAGCAAGACCATGTCTCAAAATAAAAAATGAATAGGGCTGGGGATGTCTGTTGGTCAGTGTGAAGATCCTGGCCCAATCCCCAGTACTGAAAAAAAGAGTTTTCTGCCCATCAAAAGATACTGATAAGAAATTAAATAGTATCGAGGCCAGCCTGGGCTACATAGTGAATTCAAGGCAGCCTGAACTACATAGCGAGAATCTGCCAAAAAAAAAAAAAAGGAAATTACTAAATAGCAAACCCTAAACTGAGATAAACACATTTACAATACCTATATCTGACAAATGACTTACATCCAAAAATATATGTAATACCCATGAATAAGGAGAGAAATAGAAGTTTCCAAGTCCAATCAAGTGGAGAAAGCACATTGTATCCCGTTTCTCTCACTGAATGTAATTTGAAAGCTCTGAGAGTGCCACCAGGGGCCATTGGAGGGATTTTTTTTTTTTTTTTTTTTTTGAGAAAGAGTCTTGCTCTATAATTCAGACTGGCCTTGAAGTCAGTATGTAGCCCTGGCTGGCCTCGAACTCATGGGTGTCTTCCTGCCTCAGCCTGCCAAGTGCTGGTATCACAGGCATGTGCCACCACACCCAGCACCTGAGGATTCTGAAAAGTAAATGGCAGCAAGATTATAGGAAAAAGAAATCAGCCATTGAAGAACTACAAAATCAAGGATGAGTTTCCCACCCGCTATTGTCTCTTAGCCTGAACTGAAAAGTAGCTTTTGCATTTTGCACAACACTATGAATATAGTTAGTACTACTGAGCTGCACACTTCAAGTGGGCTGGGGATGTAGCTCAGTGGTAGAGCACTTTCCTAGCAAGTGCAAAGCCCTGAGTATTAAATAATTACTACAGTAAATTTTGTATTTTTTGTTTTATTTTTGTGGTACTGGTGATACAACCCAGGGCCATGTGCCTTGGGCAAGCTAAGCAAGCACTCTAACCCTGAGCTATAACCACAGCTTTTATATTTTATTTTGAGATATGGTCTCACTAAATTATCCAGTTTGGCCTTGAACTTGTGATCCTACTGCCTCAGCTCCTGAGTAGTTAGGATCACAGGTGTGTGGCACCACACTTGGCTTTATGGTTTTCTTTTATAATTAAAGGAACAGCTATTATAACCATGATTTAAGGTGGAGGGGGAGACGTAAAATGAATAAAGAGTTTCAGCAGAGAAGTACAGTTTATAAAAAAGAATCAAATGGGGATTTTACAGTTGAAAAATAGAGTAAGAGGAGCAAAAATGTCTCTAGATAGGCTCAGTAGCAGAATAGAGAATACAGAGGGAGAGTCACAAAACAAAAACCTGAGATGAGTTAAAGTTAACAGTGAGAATAGAGTTCTAGAAGGAGAAGTGTTCCAGACCAAAGATGGCTCAGAATGCCTCAATCAACATGGGAAGCTATGTTTATAATCAAAAACCCAGAAAGTGACATACAGCACTAATGCTACAGCACTAAGATTGTATCAACACTGAGATTGGCCGAGGATTTGGCTGCTGTGATTGGCTGATAGTCAGTTGCTTGGTTACCATGGTATACTCTCAGGTTAGTTTCTTTACACATTGAGATAGGTTGCAGTGTAGGATGCTCAAAGGCAGTGCTAGCCCAAACATTGTGACCCAAGTGAAAGAGACTAGTTTAGGCTAAACTGCATTCAATTTAACAGTATCCAATCTGAACAAGGAAGAAATACAGGGAAAAAATTAATAGAGCATCAAGGACCCAGGGAACAATACCAAATTATCTAACACTCATGTCATTAGAATCTCACAAGGAAAGGAAAAAGAAGATATTTGGCACAGAAAAGAAAACTGAGGAAATAATGCCTGAAAATGTTCAAAAATGGCAAAACACATACATGTACTGAATCAAGAAGTTCATCAATTGCCAAACAGTAAACAGAAAGAAATCTACTCCCAGTGCAGCATAATCAACCACTAAAAATTAAATGAAAAAGAACCTTGAAAACAGCCAGAGAAAAACTAGGCATTACCTACAAGAGGAAAACAATTAGAATAACTGAGGGTTTCAGGTCAGAAACCATGGAGGCCAGAAAGGTAGCAAAACAGAAATTTTAAAGTCATGAAAGAAAAAAATAGAGAACTTGGAATTCCACATGCAGTGAAAAAAATCCTTCAGGAATGAGAGTGAGCTAAAGACATACATAGAGGAGGGAATGCTAAGAGTATTATTGGCACACGTTGTAAAAACTAAAGGAAGTTATCCAGGCAGAAAGGAAATGATAACAGAGGAAAATTAGAAATATCAAGAATGAAAGAAGAGCAATGAAAAGGCTAAATAGCTAATCCAATCCTGATCAAAGTACCAATAGCATACGTCACAGAAATAGAGAAAACAATCCTAAAATTCATTTGGAACCAGAAAAGACCTAGAATACCAAAAGCAATTCTGGGCAACAAAGGCAAGGCAGGGGGCATCACAATCCCTGTCTTAAAATTATACTACAAAACTACTGTGATAAAAACAGCATGATGCTGGCAAAAAAAACAGACCCGAAGATCAATGGAACCAAATAGAAGATGCAGAAACAACTCCAAACATACTCAGCCACCTTATCTTTGACAAAGGAGCCAAACACCTTCACTGGAAGAAAGATAGCCTCTTTAATAAATGGTGCTGGGAAAACTGGCTTTCCACATACCGAAGATTAAAACTAGGCCCGTATCTTTCACCATGTACTAAACTAAAATTGAAACAGATCAAAGATCTGAATGTTAAAACAAACACTAAATCTGCTGGAAGAGAGAATAGGTGGAACTTCAAAGACCTAGGTGTAGGCAAAGATTTTATGAACAAAACCCTAATTGTACAGGAACTATCACAAAGAATCAACAACTGGGATCTCATCTTATTAAAAAGCTTTTGCACAGCAAGAGAAATCACCAACAGAGTGAAGAGACAGCCAACAGCATGGGAAAAAGTTTAAGCAGATATTTCTTACA